GTGAGAATGTGAGACTCATTGAAACCTACTGTGTGGTAGGAACATTCCAGAAACTCAACCTCTTAACAGAGGGGCTCTACATTTTTTTTCGAAAGAGGAAATGACCATGGTGGATGAAAAATGGGAACTTGTGTTCTTTGTATTCTAAAATACTCCATCTGTGTATGTGTGTATGTATAAGACAGATAGAGAGAGAAAGAGAAAGAGAGAGAGCACGAGAGCACACATGCATGCTGCTGTGCATTTATGGAGGTCACCTTTTGGGTTTGGTTCTTGCTGTCCATCATGTGGGTCCAGGGAACCAAACTCATAGACTTTGAAAATTGGCAGCAAGCACCTTTACCTGCTGAGCCATCTCACTGGCTCCTGACTGTGTTTTGAAAGCAATTTTACATTCCTAGAATACTCTATTCCAAGGTTTCAGCTGTTTCTATCCTTTGAGCCACCACGATCTGGTGGAACTTTCAGCACAGTGAGCACCGCTAAATATTTGGATAAGAGTTGACCTCTCAGGTCTCTGCTAATGTAGGTTTTCTGTGATCCTATCAATAACCAAGAGCCAAGGGCAGGAGAGTCATCCAGGCACCCGGGAGGAGCACCTGCCTCAGGCAAGCCCTGCCCACAGGCACAGGCTGCGTCTCACAAGGATGACAGTGATTAACCTGGTCCACAGAGAGTGCCAAAAGCACAGTGAAATCAAGGCTGCAATGGTTCAGTTAACAAATGCTCTGGAAACAGAGCTTCTTTATAATGGAGCTGGCCATTCTGTACAAAGCTCACCACAAATCATGTGGCTGCTGTAAGCGCCACGGCTCACGGCAGTGCTCTGAGGCGCTGGGAGTCAGGTGCTATACTTCCCCGGTCCCCATCTATCCGTCATCTGTGAACACGGGGAACATTTCCTGGCTCACCCTTGGCATTGGCCCTGCCCCTGCTCACTCTCCTTCTGTGCACACCCTACAATTGCTGCAGGCCTGACCTCGTCACAGCTTACTCCCCCGTCATAACTCACTCCCCATCATGTCTACGGTGCTACCCACTCAGGCTTGGCTCTGAGACAAGGAAGCAAGCCAGGCCTACCGCTAATCCAACTCCATGTGCAAAGAAACCAGTGCCAGGGCAGTCCCATACACAGACATGGGATCCACGTCACCTCCTAGGGCTTGGATAATGCTGAGGCACCACACAGCAGGGCTCTCACCAGGCCATGTCTTTAGCCCACAACTGGAAGGAGCACATGTCGTACTGTCTCTGAACAAAGGACATGAGTTCATGTTTCAAGAGTGGACTGAATATCCCTAAGCAGCCTGTTTTCTCTCGTAGGTGAGGCCCTCTGTGCCCTTTTCTTTCATGAGAGCACAAAGCAGAAGAGGTATTGCAGTGCCTGGGATGGGATGGCGGCAGTTAAGCTGCTCCAGCGTCTTCCTCCAGGAGAGCCTGTGCCCTTCCAGCTGCTGAGTTTGCACAGCTACTGCAGCTGGTGGGGCCTTCGCTCACAATGACCTGAGTCTCTTCCACCCCAGCAACTTGTCACTGAAGTCCACCTACTTCACCCCAGAGGGACGAAGACAAGTTTACTTTTCCAGAAGGCAAAATCCTGTGCTTTGGGAGGCACAGTTGGCCTACAGATGCCAAGCAGAAGCCTGAGGCCATAGGTTTGAGGTGACCAGGCCAATAAAGAAAAGCAGGACCAAAACCTGCCTCAGGTAATCAAGGTACATCCATGAGCTGAGACATGGTTACCAAAGGCCTTATAGGAAAAAAACCAGTCATTCTCATGCGGTGGAGAATGTGACAATGACGGAGAAGTGACAAGGTGGCCATACTTCCCCAGTGCACGGGTGCATCCGTGCTTGGGTGGCCAGCCCACAAGAAGGTATCCGGGGCTTGGATGTATGGCTTGAAGGATCTCAGGCCTAAGTGAAAATGACCCACACTCAGAAACAGGGAGAAATGAGCCATACTGATGGCACAGAGATGTTGACGGGAGACGACAGACCAGAGCCCAGAAGTGGCCTCATTCAGGACAGGTGTCTAGCGACCAGCTCTGCGTACTATATTTATTGCAGCCACAGGAAGGAAGGCAAGGAATCTAGAGTAGTCAGATGGGGCAGGAGCTAAGGTTTGAGACATCAAGACTGCAGTTCTGGGCAAAGAAGTACAAATTGGGTAGTAACAGCTACTATGGTCTAAGGTCCTATCCTGTGCCCTACCTAGCCACGGAAGCTGGAAGCATGAGGTTCATTCGAGATATTTCCTTGCTTGTTGCTGTCAAGGAAGGAGCAGCGGGACTGTGGTAGTGTTGGAACATCTAGTACTATTGACATAAGACACCCGCTCCTGTCCCTAGCTCCTGGCTACAAGGAATATTAACTCAGTGACTAGGTCTAACCCAACCCCACACTCTCTAGCCTTCTGCTCCCCTTGCCTAGCCAGGCTTGCCACAGTTCTCACTGCTCACTGTGGTAATGCTGGGCTTCGAGGCGGACTTCAAGAACACGAGGTTGCCAGGGACATGGCGGGAGGGGGCCTGAGAAGCTCTGGCTTAGTCTTTGAATTTTAGTGGTGCTTCACAGTCTACATCTCCATTTCCTATGTCTCGAGTGCCTCTCTAACTCAAAGAACCCCCCAACACCAGGCTGGGTTACCTCTACTACACAGCAATGACATTGGGCACTCACCTTCCTGCAGCCACCTGCCTCCTCAGAGCCACCTCAGCTGGCGTGGACTCCAGCACACTGCCACAGCTCAGCCACAGCAGAGCCACTGTACAGTGGCCGACGCTTCCACAGATTACTAAAAGCCCAGCTAATAACCGACACCCTCGATGTAAGGACGCTGTTTTATCTACAGTTAAGCCCAATAAATGGCTGGAGAACTCAACTGACAAAACCCAGCCAAGGATGGCAGATGCACTGACAGAACCTACAGATGAAAGAAAGCAGGTCAGCTCAGTTCTCCATCCCTGTCAGAACTTCCTGGAAAGAGCCCAAGCGGTTCCAGCTCTGAAGCAGGGAGAAGCGTAATTACAACCGCGATTCCACCGTGCCTTCCAGAAGTAGAAAAGAAAGAAAATAAGACTTTTAAAATCAAGGCCTCCTCCAGGCAGCCCTTCATTACAAATGAGCCACCTACTACACGTCAATCATCGTCACACTTCCTTGCTATTGACCGCCCCTTCCCATGTCTTCAACTCTCTATCTCAGCTACTTAGATCAGAGAGCTAGCTCTTCGGTCTCTTAGGGTGTTCATCAGACCAACTGCTGTTCTCTGAAATGACTGTGATAGGGGCCACACACTCCCTGCATTAAAAAAAACACACACACACACAAACAAACAAACAAAACGCCAGAAAATGCTTATCTAGTTGCAAGAGTGAGCCTTGCACCAATCCAACCTGGTGTTGTGGGAACTGGGCACCAGTGCCAGCTTGCTATGCCTTCCCTGCAGTGTGAAATCCCACTGCCTACACCTGGACCTCAGCTATAAAACAAAACAAGGAAGGAAGCAAGCAAGCAAGCAAGCAAGCAAACAGAGGACATTTGGGGTCCTTTGTTGACGGAGGAAGGATTGTGGCAGTTGGAAGAGAAAGAAAGGACCATGAGCCTAACTTTCATCTGAAGACATCACGGTGCTGAAAGCGCCAAGGAGACACTTAGAGGGGAGCCAGGAATGGCGTCAGATGAGGAGGTACCGCAAGAGTCTCGCCTTACCTGGGGGAATCTAATGGAGGGGCCCTCATTCTCTCTACTGGGGTTGAGAGGAGACGCTACGTCGAGTCCCCGTTCTACTGCTCAGCTCCCTGTTCTTTTGCTCCCTACTGTCGAGGACAGCCGACCTAGAGTCCACAGGGGACCACAGACAGTAGACGAGGAGCCAGCCTGAGTGGCGCCCGCCTCGTGCTACAACACGAGCTGCATTTTGAACCAAATCAAAAGACAGGCTCTGGTTTGTTTTTATACCAAATACCAGATAATAAAAATAGAGCAGTAGTTTAGATGGCAAAGAGGGGGCTTCACCTTCAAACACACTGAATTTCAGGCGACACCACAGGGCTATATCCAGCCCCGTGGACACAGACTAGAGGCAGAAAGACTATGATGCAGAAGGCTTATTTATTTTTAAAGACCTGGTAGTCCTTTTGCTGGCATCCCTTCATTCTCTTCCCACAAATAATATGGCAAAAATACAGAGAGGGACAGCAAAATGACAAAACATCAGGAATAAAAAGTATTGTAAAGAAGTACTAAATCAAATATGATAGTACATGCCTATCATTATAGTACCCAGGAGCCTGAGGCAGGAGGATTACCTCCAGTTCACATCTAGCCTGGGCTACCTGACAACATCCTGCTCTAAAAAAGGGAAGGGGAAGAAATACTCCCAAATAATTTAATAAAAATTATTTCCCAAGTCTAATAATACTAGAACTAGAGTAGAGGTGATACTGATTGCAAGAGTATACAATAAACTAGCATCCTCATACAGGCTGTAAGAAAGAAGCCTTTGGAAGGCACTCCGCCAGTGGGTGTCCAGGGCCATAAAGGGTTAATAGCATGACCTATAATATTACCTGTAGGAATCTACCCTGAGGAAATATTCAACTGGAAGCAATAGGAATATATTGAACACAGAGGATATTTGCTACATGGGGAATACTTCATATCTGTAACAGCAAGAAATAGACACCATAGCAAAGAAATTAAGATCATTATAGGCCCTTAATGTGATCACTGCATGGGCATTAAAATGTTAATTAGGAAGACAGCGAGGTACAGGGAAATCTGTTTTGTTTTTTTTGTTTTTTTTTTTTTTTCTCATTTGCCATGACTTTAGGTGGGAAGGAAAGAGCAAGATTCGTGATTATGCAGACATTATGGTAAGCCCTGTGAGGAGACAGCAGGGTCTGGTTATGGCTCTCCCCCTCATCTTCCAAATCTACCATATTGCTTTGGAATAAAAATAAGTGAGGATGTCAGAATCGTCTGGCGGGCCAGTACCTTGGCTCCATCGACACTGATGATTCGGTAGCTGTTCCTGGTAACATCGTAGAAGTAGGAAACGGTGACGGCCTGCTTGCTTGCAGGCACCCAGTTCTTCTTGGTGCTGGGGTCAATCTGGAAGACGTGCGCACGCGTGGTGAAGATGGGCTGTTCTCTGCAACAGGACAGATGTGTATGTGAATTAGTGGAACCTGACCTAATGTATAATTTATGATTTCTAGGCCACCCGCTATCTCGTGCGATTTTAAATAGCTTATCGGCAAAGATACATATGCATGAGAACAATTAAAATGAGGAGGAGGAGGAGAGGAGGAAGAAAGCAAGCCTGTGAGTAGTTTCTGCAGCCCACACTCCATTTAGCTGAAACTACCTGGAGGCTGCTGGGAAACTGGCCTAATGAGCAATTTGCTTAAAATGAAACTCTTCGTTCAGAGTTTTTACATTGCTGTCAAGTATCCTATTTTTTATTTTTTTTTCCTGACACCCTGTTGGCCTTTATGGGGATGACGAAATCTTTGAAAATAATTCATTTTAGAAAAAAAAAATTTTAATTTATTTTGGGAGATTCTACATCAATTTTAGGATTTTGCAACCTATCCAAAGCTTAATATTTCATTTCCTTTAGTATTTCTCAAATTTGAGGAACTGCTTTGAACGACAGAATTATTTTATAGCCTTGGAAGAATTGCCAGTTTGCTTTTGAAACCTGTGAGGACTCAACAACTTAGAGGGGCTGTCATGTCTTGCGCACAGCTTCCTTCTAGTTTTTTGTTTTATTGAAGCCCGTTCTTCTGCGACGGACTCTGAATTGCTGTGTTTTTCATCCCACATGCCTGTGACTGTGTCCTGTGACTGCTAAAGCAATTAACCAAATTAACACATTATCTATGCTTCTTTCTGTCTAGTAAGGAATTAATTAGGCCCTGACAATAGGCATTAATAACTAAGATGGATTATAAAACTATAATAGAATTTGCTGCACAGTCATGCTTTGAGATGAGATCTGCTTAACAAAGTACCAAAACATGAAATACAGACTCATCACAAAATCTGCTTTATGAAGAAAAGTTTTGTTGGCAAACTCTCAAAATATCTTTTAAGTGTTCGAAATGAGACAAAAATGGGGAGGAGGGCACCAGCATACCAAAATAAAGTCACAGAACACCATAGGTCAGTAAGTATTGATTAAAGAGACGACATTAAACCCCACGGGTTGATTTTGGTGTAGTCAAATGAAATTCCAAAATCCCAACAATGTTGAAAGAGATGCTAAAGAACAGGACACCAAGTGGACACAGAAGTTCAAAAGGCAGGGAAGTCTCAAGGGGCCATGCTGCCAGTGGGGAGGAGTCTATGAGCCACACGCCCCTCCCCAACAGCACCTGCAGAAGATTCATTACTGAAAACACAGCTCTCAAGGGGAAACTTTCTTCTAGGAAAGCAATTTGCTTTCTGAGCCCCATAGTAGGGATGCCAGGTAACGACACGGTGTCAGAGGAACACAGAAACTTCTGGAAGGGTATGCTAAGAACATAAAGCCAAGGTAGATGCTTCTGGAGCTGGTATTCCAGAAGAGCAGCCAGAGGCTGGCATTCCTGCTCCTCTCTAGGCCCTGGGAACAGGAAAAATAACAGTGGGAGTACAGGTTACTCTGGCATTTCCTTCAATAATCCTCACTCACTTGCTTCAACCCAAACCCACAGCCTTCCAGCAGCTAGATGACAGCTGTAGGAAGAAAAGAAGATTCTCGCTGTAATGTTTCATACCTGCTGTCAGGAGGCCAAGCTGTGCAGCGCATGTATCATGGACAGGGTGTGGGGAAGTCTGACATCTGGATGGCCCAGCTGTGCCACTCAGGAGACAGCCCTGTGGTTCTCTAACCGTCCCAGTACAATACTATAAAGACAAACGTTCTCATGCAATGGCCTGCACGTGCACAAGGAGGGAGGGAGGCGATCGGCTCTCACCACAGAGAATTTGGGGAACAGTAGCCCACAGGTCAGAGAGGAGCCCCTTTCCAGGGTGGAGCCCAGGCCTTCGGTTCTCTCGTCCTGCTCCTTCTGTGAGGAAGAGGGTCTGGGAGTGAGTTTAAGCATGCGGAGTGTGGATACTAGTTTGCTAAACCTTCATCCTAGCAATTAGCCATGATCACAAACATTACTAGCTCCCAAGCCTGTCCTAGCCCCTGGCACCTGACTCTCTAGGGAAAGGACCTGAGGCCTGATAACAAAAGCTAGGCGACTGGGGAAGCACTCTCCTTAGACATTACCCAAGGATTGGGAAAGCCACAGAGGACACGGCCCCCACAGCTAGTACCTCTCATCTAGAATGACACAATTGACTGTTAGCAACTCAGTCTCCTCCTGAAAGGTCTCCTATAGCTTGGGGTAGTCAACAGTAGGACCAAGAACTGGTTCTCCGGATGCAAGGGGTCAGGAGAGGGGCCTGAAGGGAGGCAGAAGTGCTCTGACCAGAGGAGGAGGCTGATGAGGCAATGCTCTCATCAGGGAGGAGGGGAAAGAAGGGAGGAGGGGAGAGAAGGGAGGCAGCCTGCTGGGCCTCAGCAATGGCTTTCTGTATGTATTCTGTGTCCTTAAAGCGCACAGGAAGTGAGGCAATCCGTCAAAGTGAAGACGGATGCAGGGGGGAAGACTGGAAGGCAAGGTGAGGTGGCAGAGCTCTGTGACGGATGATAGGGGCGAAGTAGATGGCCGCCTGCTACGCGTGACTTGGGTCAGGTGAGCGCTCAGACCAGAGGCCTCCATCTCCAAATGTGCCTTCTCAGCTCTGGATGGGAAAACCCTGAGCTGCCTTCAGAACCTCAGTCGGAAATGCATGGAGGTGGGGAGGATCAGTGGGTTCGTCTGGACACCCCGTTGGTCACCAGAGCCAGGCCTACTAGAGGGGGAGACCTAGGAGGGACACTGGGACTCCTACCACGCCCATCTCCAAGTGGTCACTGTACCGAAAAGCTATGACCCTGAGGTTCCAGCAAACATGGCAGCTTGGGGCCTGGGGGCTAGGGCAGTGGGGATGAGGACGGGGAGACAGGACTTGGACCTGAACGCCAGTCTGATAGCAGTTCTATGCCCAGCAAGCCACCCACAGGACTGGGATTTCCACATGAATAACCCAATCTGAGAGTACTGGGGAGTTTCAAGCTATTCTTCTGATCAAAAAGTCTAATGTTATTTCAAGAAAGAAAGAAAGAAAAAGACCAGGATGAAAAGAACAGCCAGGCGCTGACATTTACCAACTGCTTAGCATTCTGCATATGGGATTTCTCACTTAAGATCGTAATAGCTCTGTAGGAAAGTGCTGTACAGGTGAGGGAGACAGGCTCAGCACGCAGCAAGTGGCATACCCGAAAACTTGCACTCCCTCTTAACCATGGCCTGTAAGAATAGTTAAAACGCTAGCCATGGGCACTGTGTGGCTTCTCATGAGGTTGCCAGTGTCCTCTCCTCCCCTTGCTTATCAGGCAAGACTTACTTCGGCCTTGTTTGTTTGACCGGGGCCTGGGTTGTTTTTTCAGGCAGTTCATCCCCACAGGCTCCAGTACACGATCCTCTTACCTCAGCCTCCTGTGGGATTATGGGTATGCACTACCTAGTCTGGCTGTCTCTTCGCCGACAGACTAGGTCATAGGTTGTCATTTGTGGGATTGCGCCATACATGACTGTGACTTGTCTTCCACCAACTCTCCCTTGCTGGCTTTCAGGATTATTAAGAGTCCTGCACTGTAAGGCACTAAGAGGACCAGAAAAGAATATCCCCAGGGGACGGCATTCTGCCAACAGCTGTGTGAATTCCAAACCAGAGCTTCTGCAGTCAAGCCCTCACGTGGGACTTCAGCCCCTACCTGATTACAGTACCTGACACAGTCGTACACCCAGCTAAGGGACATTCAGACCCCTGCCCTACACAAATATGGTTGAAGCAGCTGATTCCTGCTTCGTTATGGTGAGACAGGTAACTAATACATTGTCCTTCACAGAAAGTTTATGATGCTCCAAATAGATGCCAAATATCCTCCCCTGATCCTCCTAACAGCTGTGGGTGGACAGCATTCTCCACACAAAGAGCTCAGGGTCACAGATGACACTAAGCAACGGAGAGAGCAGAGCAGGAGTGCTTTGAATTCCGAGAAACAGACCTCCACTTTGAAAGCTAACTCTGCCTCACCTGAGAAGGTAAAAGTGCCGTAACTAGGACATCAACGTCAGGTCCTGTTATGCGCAAATCAGAATAAGGAGAATCAACAGAATCAGAACTTCCCGACGCAGGAGGCCACAGGCCCCGCCCAGCAGGGACCAGCCGAGGAGTGTGGATCAGAGAACAGAAACCACCTTCAGATCCAATTTCATTCCCTCTCTTTGGTGTTCAGTGCCCAGGGAGTATATTTGAAATACACTCCCATTCCTTCTCCACAGCTTTAAATAGAAAGCAGATGTTTCCGGATGGCAAAATGCTTCTTCAGGCAGACAATATAACCTACTGTTCCCTTGCATGGTCTTTTAAAAGCTGAATAAACACCAATTGCTGCTCATTGAGCACATTTTGGAACCTGACAGTAATTGTCCCCAAGAATAATTAGATGCTCCGTGCAACATATGTACATTTGGAACACGAACACCACCCGGCAGAGCCACCACATCGGCTTTGAACAATTTCTGGCTCTGCCTGAAGTGATTCTGCAAAGAACTGGCATGCCTACTTTTTTTTTTTTTTTTTTTTTCAGAAAAGAAAAATGAGGTTTTAACTTGTCATAATCTTTCACTTGCTCAGTGCCAGGCTGTTTTCTGACATAAATCTATAAAGCCTCATGATTCTTATTTTTCCTACCTCTATTCAATTTGAATTGAAAAAAAAAAGTATTCAGAAATTGTTTCTGCAGCTACTTAAACATTTCAAAGTCTAGTAACGTTCCCTATTTTGTGCTGATTCTTGAGCTCCTCCAAATAAGCATCCGCAAAGAATCTAGAGGGGAGTCTCCCCAGCCTGGATGGTGAGGTCCTACCTGGCCAACAGTGCCGGCTGCTCTGGTCTACCCCCACAGGGCCAGCTCCGAGCTTTGGGAATGCTCTTAGGCTTCTCTGCCCCATCACCAAACTGACTTCTACCATTCGTGTGTGTGTGTGTGTGTGTGTGTGT